GATGCTGAAAATTCAGCTTTGCCATCACAGAAGTAAATTACATTTAAAATATATTAAAATAGAAAATGTTTATTTAAAATTCTAATAATGTTACACTAATATTTTTACTTGATTAAATAAACCCAGCATTGATGAGCATAAAAGCCTTATTTCAAAAATATAAAAAAATCTAATTGACCCCAAACTTTTGTATGGTAGTCACTGTATATGTGTAATTGAAAGTCAAAATGTTCGTTTGATGTGTAACGTAAGTAATCTGCATTAATTCTGAAGTTCTAAAGAAACATTTTTGATGATGGTTGAAATAACAGGTGGTTGAGTCAAATGAATAATTATTGCTCGTACATTTGTATTATATTTCAGAGGGTCCAACTAGCGTCTCACTGGCCATACAACCAGCAACTCTCTTACAGAATGGAACATTATATGTCAAAAAAGGCTCAGATGTGTATTTTAACTGCTCCAGTGAGTCTTTTCCCTCACAAAACTTGACATGGACTGTTGAAGATTTGGCGCTGGACAGTTATGACAGGGTGTCTGGGAACAAATCGTTCCTTGAGTTCTCCATAACAAACATCCAACCGAGCGATCAAGGGATGTACAGCTGTACATCCCAGAATACACTCTCCAAGACAACTGCGAACAAGAGACAGGAGCTGCTAGTTTACTGTAAGACATATGTTTTCATATTTAAAAAAAAAATTTCAGGTGCCATTATCTGTATAGATTTTGTTTTGTTTGTTAGATCTGTGTTATATACTGTATGCTTTAATGGTCTCTAACGTCTATTTCAGATGCTCCGGAGAGTCATCCAGAGTGCAGTTGGGAGATCGTAAACGAGCCATTGGATGTCTTGTTCATATGTAGCTGGCATGGAGGTTACCCTGTGCCCACTCTGGACTGGCATGAGGTCCTTGAAGAACATGTAATAGCCAAGGGTCCCACGGTCAACTCCACATCCCAGGAGACAGAACGTTTGGAGGTCCATGTGAATGGGTTTATATTGCAGAGTGGAGAGGAAGTGAAGTGTATTGGACATCATGTGACTGGAGTGGAGAATTCCTGCTCCTTTAAGCTCAGTAAGACCATTTTTTCTATAGGACTACAGTTTTTATTTTGTTCCTTTGATTTTATGCAAAATGTGATAGACATGTTTTAATGAGATTTACCTTCCGTGTTGTTTTACCTTTCTCAGTGTATTGATTTTTTTTTTCAGCAATTGACAGTAAAGACATTTATTATGTTACCAGAAATGTACATTTAAAATAAATTCTGTTTTTAAAATGACTTTTTATTAATCAAATAATCCAGAAAAAGGGTATCACAGTTTCCACAAAAATATATTAGGCAGCACAATTTCTTTCAACATTGATAATAATTAGGGATGTAACGATTCACTCAAGTCACGATTCGATTCACGATT